TTTTTTCCAATTTTTAAAAGTGTGGAGAAGGAAAAAAAAAATTAGTGGGAAAAAAAAAAAAAAAAAAAAAAAAAAAAAAGAGGTTTCTGGCAGAACAGGGGTTACAGGTGCTTCACAGCAGGGCGCTGAGACTTTGAAATGGAAGAGCTTGCCATGATAAAACGGACAATAAGCTGCTGAATGAAGTTTGGCTAGTTTATTCAAGTGAGGGTATTTAACAGACAGTAGAATACGAAACAACAAAATGGTTTCCATCTGACTGCAGGTCATACCTAAAGTACTGCAAGGCGCCATGAATTTAATACACTTACACCAACAGAGATTTCCCCCTCCCTCCCCAAAGTGTACCTCTGCTCTTAGGTGCTGACATCCTTGCACTGTTTTTTAAATGACAGGAATTACATGAGGGAGAGAGAAACAAGTGACAGTGGAGGTAACACTGCTTGTTTTTGTAATTCAGAAATGATTGATAGCTCTCCCTTGTAGCTGCCTGAGTTGCCTAGGCAATGTGCGACTGGCTGAGAAAACAGCTGAGCTGAGTAGCTGAAAGGTATTGATCTACTGATCAATCTACAGTCTACATTAGTTGAAGCCTTAGAGATGTCACTCCTGTTGAAGACTTCTGCAGCTGGCCAGGTAACCTCTGAAATCAAATTTTAAGCTGACAGGTGAGCCCTCTGCTCTTGCTAGTGGCTTGTGAAGAAGAAGAGATGGGCCACGGCAGCACCTACCTGTGAGAGAAATGGAGGGCAGCAGTAGCCACAGTCCACAGCTATAGAAGCGGATATGCTCTGGGAAGTAAAACCTGTCCCTAGCACCCTGGCATTGCAGTGTCTTTGAGGGGACAGGCTCTGATCCAAAATCTAGTCCAATGTAATTGCCTGTTGAACAAATTCCTCCCCATTGTATGTGTAACTCTGCCTGGTGAAGGAGAGCCCTGGTGGCAGGTACGGGTCCTTAGGGAAGAGTTTTTAACCCAAAGTTTGGCAAAGGCAGAAGGGCCAAAAGTTTTGGTTTGGGGGGAGAGGAGGGAGAAAAGATTTTAATGCTTCATCCTTTTGTGTATGAGTGTGTAATGTCTTGTAATATAACAACTTTGGTCTTGGCAGGCACGAAGCCAGATTTAAACAACGTATGCTGGAACTAACGGACACGAACAACATTGCCTACTTATTTCTATCTGCTGCCAACAGATGGCTGGAGGTCAGGACGGTACGTTCAGTTTAGTCCCAGCCATGGTTTTGAAACCTTGGAAGCAAACAGAGACTTTCCCTGATGCAGAGAAGATAATAATGAGAATTAATCTCGCAATGAGATTATACACACTGTTTCTTAAAATAGATTGGGATTGTTTATGTTAAACCCATAGGGTTTTTTCAGCTTTCTTGGCCAGGAGTAAGAAAATACAAGTCTCCCTCATCTTTTGCTGTTGTGATGTCTAGTGTCTGAAAAGAGTGCAAGAACAAACATTTACATAACTTGAAATAAGGCTTTCTCTACTACTGTGCAGCATCTGCAGACCTGCCGCAGCAGGAACTACTTTCAAAGAAGAGCATGGCTTTTAAGTAGTTTTGCGAACTGTGCTGTCATTCTGCCAGGGCTGTTTTAGGCACCATTCAGCTTCCAGGTCCTGAGGTATCTCTCCAGAAACAGGTTTTATTCCACAGCTGTAATTTAGAGCCCCCATTTGCAGTGTCCTTACTGCAGCTGTGAGCCCAGACTGTGCAATTTACAGTACTGTTCAATATCACAAAAGATGGCAGAACTGGACTCCAACTGAAAAACAAATGACAGTAGGGCACAGTGCAGCCAGTGCCAGTGAGACAGGCTCCTGGCTTTTATGGGGGCTTTCCAGGGACAGCATATGAGGAGATTCCCTGATTTGCAAGGCAAGAAGAGACAAGCAAAATCACTGTGATTTCCTTATTCATCTGACACTAAAAGAGCAGTGAATAAACAGAGCAGTGACCTGATTCTGCTAGACACCAATAGTAACAGGCATGATTAATCCTCACTTCAAAGGCTGTATCCTTACCTTCATTTCCTGGTATGCTGGCAGAGCAACAAAGTTGTGCTCCATTTCTCACGATGACACAGCTTTCCCTTGTGCATGAAGATTTCAGCTTCCTACAGCATCCAAGATCAAGCTGAACTTGCTTCCAAATCAAAGACAGATAAGTAACAGAGCAACAACCAATCCTGGAATAAACTGTGGCAATGCCTGCTAATGTTTCAGTCTTAGACTTGCTTACATGTGGAATGAATTTGATCCAAGAATATGCATCACTTCATCATAGCATTAGAAATAATGTGGTCACGCCAAGGAATAGTTTATTTAGCTCTGCCTAATGGCACAGTGGTACTAATATCACTCAAAATTTTGTAGGGTTTAATAGCAACTGTGAAGTCCAACTGCTGATGGAGACTTGAGACCATTGTGCGTCTACTTCCCTGTAGATATTAAGTTTGAATCTGTCATCTGCTCATCAACACTTCTTACAGACAGACGAACTAGGCAGCCCTCATTTCAAATCTCAGAGGGAAAGATTCCAGGCAGGATATTATCAGACAGGAGGAAAAAAATGGATGGAAAATGCTAACCCTGTAATCCAAAGTAAATATAATGCAGGGAGCAGTGGGAGAGTGGGAATACCAGCAGCCTTATGAATCAGGCACCTTGACAGCTACATGAGATCACATGTGGCATTCACTTCAAAACTGAGGTACACATCAAGAAGATGGGTTCAAGCTCCTGCAAAGCTTGTGAGAAGTCAGATCTTTCTAATAGAGCCTACACACAATTACTGTAAATCAAGTCATCACCATGCAACAGAGCTGAGATCCTTCAGGTACCTACCACAAAGTCACTCTGAAACTCAAGTGCTGTGGCAGAAGCAAGGCTTAGTAGCTCATTTGCAGCACCACAACTACACAGCTATACTGCTTTCAGAGTCCATACTACCAACACCCACATGGTGTTTCACTGCAGGCTGTGAGTGTATAGCAGGCTTGGGGATGCCTTCACCATGCACAGTGTCCCATTGCACGATGTAGACACTTTATGTCAGTCTGCCCACTTGTGCCCATAAAACATGTGCATTACCTGTATAAATTCTACCAAAATTCTTCATGGACTTTGTGAAGTCACTGATACTTCTCTTTTTTCAGGGAGGCAAACCCATGTTTAAGAAGACCTGAAGGAGAGTGGAATTGATTTGTTTTAGTGGTAGCAATTAGGGGTGTCAGTATTATGCCATTCTTATGATTTTATTTTTTTTTATGATGTGCTCATTAGATTTTTTGAGACCTGCTATTTTTGGTGTGGCCACAACGAGATACCCTAGCCCAAACTGGATTTGCAGAAAATACTGGCCTTTTTCACTTGTGTTTAGCAAGTTCCTTTAGAGTATGTCAGGTTGGGCACAAAAATCCCTGACCTTTTCCAGGAAAAACAACCCAAAATTAAGGACTAGGTGTCATTATAGAAATAATCCTTAGTAAAGCAAATGTGCTCTGTATCTGAAGAAATTTTCTTGTTGCTGCATTTCAATGTTATCTAGAATCTTTCTCTCCCTCTCTCTCATTCCAGGATTACCTTGGTGCTTGCATAGTTCTGACTGCGGCTGTCACTTCCATCACTGAAGGGCCTCACTCGGGGTTTGTGGGGCTAGGTCTCCTGTACGCTCTGACGGTATGTACTAAGGCAAAGCATAAGAACTTTCAGACCAACCTATTAATGTTGTGATATTTTTGAAAATACATATACATGGTTATCATCTTCCAGCTTTCTTAATCTTGAAAAAAGCAATCTTGCAAATAATGGATGCGAGCCAAAGTTGAGAGTTCAGGGCAACTTGGACTTGCTTCAGGTTTTATGAGCCAATTAAAAAAACACAACCATTCCCAGGCCCTGTGTGCTCCCAAGCAGAGCAGGAAAATTAAAAATGCGTAAGAGGACCTGCTGTGCGTTCTGTTTTGCACAACACAGTGTTGGTTCTGCCTGTATATGGCAAAACCTGCCAGAAAATACTGTCCCACAGACTGTCATAACCTGGGTAATATTTAACCAAAGACCAAATAAAATAATTGCTGAAGAACCAGAAATGCCAGTTCTACCTTTGGAAGGAAACTACTCAGATGCCCAATATTGTCCACAAAATTCTGAATGAATTTGGGGATTGGGACCTTTGGGGCTGGTAGGCATGGTTCATCATGACAGGTTGCGGTAGGAAAGTGGAGGAGATGGGGTTAGGAACGATGAGATCTTGGTGGGATGCTAGCCAATTCATTTTAACTCTATCATTAGCACTGAGCTATTTGAGCTGAGTCATGGAGAAGGAACAGTGTTTTAGTGTAGTAGGCTGTCAGGGAGGCATAGAGTGCATCACGAGCATAGAGTGAGTACGATCACTGTAGAGAGCAGAAATATCACTGAATTAACCATGAGAGTGGGGACAAAAGCAGGATGAGGATAATGGCAGGAAGAATTTTTGAAATCATGGCTGGCATGGCAAAAAACTGGCTGCTTTATGGCACTGGTGTGAGAGAGGGGTATGAGTATGCGTCTAACACTGAGATTTGTCTTTGCAAGTAAATGCTGGTGAGCCCATGGTTACAACAGAAAGTTCTCGGCAGCTGCCTTAGGGTGACCTTAGATCCCCTTCGTGCCGCTGTTGCAGCAGTGTGAGAATCTGCCAGCAACTGAGAATCAGTCCCAGTGCTTCAGCTTCTCTCTGAAAACATTCCTGGTAATCCTTCTTCATTAGCAGAGATCTGGAAGCGCCAAGATGTCTACATCATCTTTGGCTTCTTTGTATTTAGTCTGTATTTGCAAACAGATCATTAGTGTAAATTAGCCATGTGCTGAAGTCTGGCATAGCAGAGGAAAAAATGCTGTAGTCACCAAGTGATTACCTGTCTCTCTCCTGCCCCACAATAACACTGATGAAACTTTGAATGCAGTTGGATCACTACTTGTGATCCTTGACACAGGTTATTGTATCATTTCTCTTTGGAGTTAAGAGAGGGCTGATGTTTGGACCTGGATGAGAGCAAACTGTACCAACGTTGTGTTTACAGTAGACGTCCATAAGCTTATTCTCTCCCCTTGTATAAACACCGCCAACCCCCTTGCACAACTGTGATAAAGGTTGAAATAATGGGTAGAGCCTTTCAGATGCCAGGCTCTGTTATCAAATCTGCCAGATCTATGATTGCAGCCTGCTACTCTGCAAGCAGCAGTCCTGCAGAACGTATAGCTTATCTGCAAAGGTACCCATTTCCGTAACTTCCTGACTCAAAAGCTGGACGCAGAATGAGTGGGTTTCTGAATAACAAAGAAAATACTTCACATTACCCCCTAGAATAACTCTGTCTTAAGGATAAAGCAAGCAACTAAATCCTCTAAATTGACAACAAATGTTATTGCTGAATCTCAGTGAAAATTATTTACTGTATGCCTATTGCATCAGTATTAGGCAAGTGGAAAAGAAGTGGAGCTAGGCGATTTATTCAGAATAAACTTATTTGTCTTATTCAGCAATGTCCCACAAATAAATGACAAAATCTTTCTCCGAGTACGTCTGTTTATAGGATGTTTTCGCTGTCTAAGTTAAGTTTCTAAACCTTTACTCAGGTATTTGAAGTATCTCAGTTTTTAAAGGTGCTTGGCAATTGGCTGTTCCTAATAAGATCAGTTTTTCTTTTTTATATGAGCACCTAAATACAGACTTAGGAACATTTAGGAAATGTTTAGGAAATTGCTTTACAATTTTCAGCCTTAAATAGTCAGTCCTGACTAGAGATCAGTTTATCTAAGCTACTGAGTATTGTTAGACAACTAATTATCAACTATTATCTACTACAAGTAATACCTTTACTATTGGTCAAATCCTTTTGATTACAAATGGGAATAAAAACCAAGAAGGAAATACCATTGAGCTGATAATACATTTTTTCTCATATATTTCTGTGCTGAAAAACCTCACATTTTCCACAGAGAGAAATGAATTGTCTAAATGTGCACAGAAGGAAACAGAAATGAAATGCTTGTCAAATCTTTTCAATATATTTGCAAATAGTAAAATTTCTTAATCTGTAGTTGCAGTCTTTGAAAGATTAGAAAACTAAATATTTCCAAACGGTGCTTCCAATTTTGATTTCTTCTGCGTGTGTGTGTTTAAAGAACACGCCTTTTAGTACTGGCTACTAGATGCTGAGAACAAGAGATTGCCTAATCAGTCACATCTTCAGATTGTAGGTACAACCTTTCCATATTTCTCCTTCAAAAAACAAGGATGAGAATACCGAGCACTAAATTACTATATCAGGGTTGTTTGTGTTGGAGTATGACTGGCTTATTATGTATTTGATGCTGTTGCACTGAGTCTAGAACTGTTGTAATGTCAATGAGAGACCCACTGTGCTGATTCAGGCCAAAGACTTTTACAAATTTACCCAACCTTTATTCGCAAACAGGTAGATGAACAGACAGAAGTCTGAACCCTGTGCTTGTTTTCATTTTGTGATGCAGATAACCAACTATTTGAACTGGGTGGTGAGGAATCTCGCTGATCTGGAGGTGCAGATGGGTGCAGTAAAAAAAGTGCACAGCTTCCTGAATATGGAGTCGGAGAACTATGATGGCTACTTGGGTATTGCACTCCAATCTTTTTGGTTTTTAATGTGGCAATGTGAAAGCACGACAGACTTGGTCATGCAAAACGTATATGCCTCTTTGGCCAAAACCTGTTCTCATTGACATGTAGGAACTCCCATTGATCTGAGTGACAAGGATAGCCGAAAGCAGCTACGAGATATGTAGGCCATGCTACTCAACATAAAAAAAACCCTATCAAATGCCAGGGAGACAGAGCATGGCCCTGTAGTACAACCAGAAAGTACAAGGGCACAGTTATAGATGGGATGAACAAAACATCCATGTAGCTGTTCAGAAAACAAAAATATGGATAAAAATTAGAAATGCAGTAACAGTCACATGCTTTGCAGCAAATGGGGTCTACAGGACAGGGGCACATTGGCAATCAGACCTCAGCAACTCTTCCCTGAACTGCACCTTGCTGTTTGTACTCCACATATTTCATAATTGGCTTTGACTGGTATTTTAGAAGTGCTCTAAGTGCTTGAAGTGCAAGGCCAAAATGCTCGCAGGTCAGCAAGCTTCCCTGGAAAGCCAAGCCCCTTAGTCTGGAGACAAAACCTGCCTGTTTATTTGCAAATCAGGATGAAATATGAGCTGTGACAATGTCAACAGCTCATGTTGTACAGCAGTAACAGCATCCTTCCTTGCACTGCCCTTCCTGTGCCAGTTACTGACCGAAGAACATGTTAACACTGCACTGACACTACATTCTTCTCTGCTTATTTGGCTTCTCCCCGTTTCATTGCAAAGAGCCACTTTAACATTTGCCCTCTCATTTTATGTGTTGAGATCTGGAGCTAAGTGCTAATATGCCCACCAGGCAGTTTCCAGCTTCCCCTCAGCAGGGAAGTGGGCCTCCATTTCTCAAGTGGCTTCAGGAAGGTGCCCATGCGGGAGAGAGGCGCAAAGGGGAATTTCATAAAAGGTGAGCTTCTGATAGCATTTGTTTTGGTTTGTTTTACTGTTAACTGTTTCAGATCCCTCTCAAGTCCCAAAAGACTGGCCCCAAGAAGGGGAAATCAAGATTGAAAATTTGTGTGTTCGATATGAGAACAACCTGAAGCCTGTTCTTAAGCACGTTAAGGCGTATATCAAACCAGGACAAAAGGTACCATGTCAAGCAATTACCTATCAATCATCTTCATTCTGGAGCAGATCCTTCCTTATTGTGTTTTTTTTTTCTAAGGTGACAGAAGAGCAAGAATAACAACAATTTGCAGTGACAGCTATATACATTGATGGCCCGCTCTGAGGTCCCTGAGCATGGGTCAAGAAACTTACACTGATGACATCTTATTCGTGGCTGGGATCAGTTTTCCTTCTGAGAGTCGCAGTTCTTTCCAAGTCCATCTCCCTCACATAGAGTGAGCGTAGGTAGCCAGATGAGATTAGATGAACACCAGACTAGAATTGAGTAAAAATGCAAGAATATCTCACATTTGAGCGTATAGTGTCATTGGAGTCCAGGTCAAAATGCTGAAGTTTCAAAAATTTTCCTGGGACAAGTCCTCATGATGCTGAGAGGCAGAAAAGAGGAGTGTGACTTGCCATGCTCTTTTGTTTTTTCCCTGATGTCTGCCACTGGCCACTGGGAAGGATCTTTCTTCCCACCAGTAGGGCAGTCCAGTCCAGCTTTCCCAGAAGGACTGCAAGTCTGATTTACAGCTTCCCTCTATAAATAAGTAACATCTTGCTTTCTTTTGCAGGTTGGGATCTGTGGTCGTACTGGCAGCGGCAAGTCATCGTTGTCTTTGGCGTTCTTCAGAATGGTGGACATATTTGATGGTTAGTTTTCACTGGAGTATGTTGTCACTCCTAATCTGGTCCCCCATTATTTCTTCAGAATAAGCAAGGAGACTTTTTGGTAGTTTATATCCTGGCTCTCTGACTCAGAAGATACTTGATTAGAATGGGGCTTGTTGTGCCTGATCCTTCAAAGTACAAAGTGTCCTATCATGATTAGCGCTTGGTTCTTCCAGGAAATGTTACGCACAGATTATACTTCTATTTTTTTTATTTTTTTTGCGTATTCTCTGACAAAACAATATGCCATTTTTGAGATAGGAGGAAAAAATATGCAACTCTCTGGAGCCTCTAAATTTCTCCCTAAAGAATAACTGCATTAACTTATGATAGCTGGCAAAATTTTAGAGGAATAAAAACTAGAACTTAACAAGTCCCTTCCCTTCATATTTATGTTTTATTTTATTGTGGTTTCCCACAACTACAGCAGAAACTGACTAAAGGTTTTGGAAACATTTTGCTATGTTTTCACTCCTGCAGCATATCACTCTCCCAGCTAATTAGAATGAACTGGTATGCAGCATTATGCACCCTGGCATTTATAATACATATACATGTGTACTGTTGCAGGAATATGGAAACCTACTGGAAGGTCACCTTGTTTCAAAGATTTCCATGTTTCTAATTTAGCCATTGCATGTGGAATGTTTGCTAGGGAAACCCCAGTAGGATAAGGGAGGATAAGTAAATATAATGCAGCTAATACTTGCTTTTGTGGTGGTTCTGTGCCTATATGTATCTATGGTAATAGGCTTCTGATTCATGACCAGGGTTCCTGGATATATAAATAGTGCAAACAAATAATAGTTATATTTATGGCCAACTTTAAGTTTCCTTCTACTTTAATCTTCTTTGTGTATCTTTTCTTTGTCTGTTCCTTCTGTATCCCTGATTTTTCCCAGCGGGAATGCCTAAGTCTTTTCTAATCAAGCTCTGTTTATCCTTTAGGCATATCCGTCTCTCTCTCTCAGCTAGACCCATATTTGGCCTCCATGCTGGTCCACTTCTGGGTGGAGTCTTGGCTCTAATTAAAGTTACATAACAAGATTTCGAGTAACTTTACTGGAGCCAGATTGTTCTCATAGAATCATAGAATCATAGAATACCAGGTTGGAAGGGACCTCAAGGATCATCTGGTCCAACCTTTCTAGACAAGAGCACAATCTAGACGAGATGGCCCAGCACCCTGTCCAGCTTAGTCTTAAAAGTGCCCAGTGTAGCGGAGTCAACCACTTCCCTGGGGAGATTATTCCAATGATTCTCATTGTGAAAAAATTTTCCTCTCATGTCCAGTCGAATCTCCCTAAGAGTAACTTGTACCCATTACCCCTCACCATGTGACTCCTTGTAAAAAGGGAGTCTCCATCTTTGTTTGTACCTTTTAAGTACTGGTGCATGGTGATGAGATCACCCCTAAGCCTCCTTTTCTCAAGGCTGAACAAACCCAGTTCTCTCAGCCTGTCCTCATACGGCAGGCTTCCCAGACCTTTATCATCTTGGTGGCCCTTCTCTGGAACCCCTCCAGCCTGTCCACATCTTTTTTGTATAGTGGGGACCAGAACTGAACACAATATTCCAGGTGTGGCCTGACAAGCGCTGAGTAGAGTGGGATAATGACCTCTGTATCTCTGCTGGTGATGCCCTTTTTGATGCAACCCAGCATCCTATTGGCCTCCTTGGTCGCAGCAGCACACTGTTCACTCATGTTGAGCTTCCTGTCCACCAGGACCCCCAGGTCCCTTTCCACAGAGCTGCTCCCCAGCCAGGTAGATCCCAGTCTGTGCTGAACTCCTGGATTATGTTTTCCCAGGTGCAAGACCTTACACTTCCCCTTGTTAAACTTCATAAGGTTCTTGTTAGCCCACTCTTCCAGCCTATCCAGATCTTCCTGCAGGGTGGCTCTCCCTTCCAGAGTGTCTGCTTCCCCATTCAGTTTGGTATCATCTGCAAACTTTATCAGGCTATGCTTGATCCCATTATCCAGATCACTTATGAAGATATTGAATAACGTTGGGCCCAATATCAATCCCTGGCGGACCCCACTTGTGATGGGTTGCCAGTTTGAAAAAGAGCTATTTACCACCACTCTTTGGGTGCAGCCTGTCAGCCGGTTCCCCACCCACTGCACAGACTACTTGTCTAGGCTGTAACGCATCAATTTCTCCAGGAGGAGGCTGTGGGTAACCGTATCGAAAGCCTTGGAGAAGTCCAGGCAGACAACGTCCACCACTCGCCCATGTAAACCGAGCAGGTCACTTTATCGTAGAAGGCCACCAGATTTGTCAGGTACGATCTGCCCTTAGTGAAGCCGTGTTGGCTTTTCCCAATCACGTGCTTCATTTGACTTGTGATGGCCCCCAGGAGGATTCGTTCCATAACTTTCCCAGGGACTAAAGTAAGACTGATGGGCCTATAATTACCCAGATCCTCCCTTGAGCCCTTCTTGTAGATAGGGGTTACATTCGCCTTCCTCCAGTTGTCTTCATTCATGTTGTCCATCTTGGTTCCATATGGCTCTGTTATTTCTTTGAATTTATATGTGTTCCATGTTATTCCCCTACTCTCACTTTGTTCTTTTGTGTTTCCCTTTTCTTGCCCTCTGTTCAAACCACCTCTCATTTCTCTTCTGTCTTGCTTGGCTGCGCCTCATTACTTTTCTGGTTTCCCAACTCCTCTCTAATTCACTTTTTCCCTCAGGCCTCCTCATCTGCTCTTCTCTTTTCCTTGAACACCCTGGCTTCTATCGAAAATGCATTCCCCTATTCCCAATGCATGCCATATTAATTTTTCTCTCATTAGTCCACGTCATCTTCTGCTAACCTTCTCTCATGTCCTCACTTGTGAAGAAGAGGTATTGCTTAAGTTTATGCTACCACCGATGTCTCATGCTGAGGTCTTATGACCTGATTCAGACTTTCTGAAAGTCTGAAAACAATCGGACTTCGCACCCTACAGATGAAATCTTCATTTCTCTGAACTTCTAATAAAAGCATAAGACTAATGGTAGTCCAACTAGGTGGAGACTAAGTCTTTCATCGGAACAGAGCCACATAGAGTAACCTATAAAATGTGGTATCATGACAATTGAGAATGACAGAAGAGGCGTACGTGCACAGCTTTGAATATCCACGTATATGCCAGTTCACACTTAGGTTCTCACTGTTGGGAAAGAGAACTGATGAACTTAATGTTAGGTACTTTCCAGGACTGAGTGCAGCTGCCTGGTGAAGTAATCCACAGGGAAACTGCAGAAGTGAGCCTGATGAAAATACCCCTTACCATATCCTCATTCAGTTCGCCCTGGCCCATCCCTTACCCATAACCCAGAGGAAGTTTCTGTGTTCAGGGAAAATCAGTGGAGGTTTGAGGATTCAAGGGAAGAGATTCCTTCTGCCCTTCTCACCCTCTTCTACTTACAGAGCAGCCAATCAGTTTCTCTTGTCTGTTTTCCCCATCTCCCTCACCTGACTATCAGTGGTTGCCACACCCAGCACATCATAAATCAGATTTTCAGATGAGATCCATATGCTCATTGACCTGAAGTAGTGCCTAGGAAAGGAAAAATGCTCTTACTTTACCAAGTATCCCAGCTATTGCAGCAACTTGTTGTGGGGGAATGAACTACTAGGTTAAGGAGTGATTAATGTGACTGCTTCCAGTAATCTTATGCTAGCAGAACAGTATGTGGCTAACTCACAAACAAATACTCAAATGAAACTGAGCTGTAGGAACTAGCATGAATGGTATTAAAATGCCTTGGAGTAGGACATCCTTTTGGTTTTTCTGATCTGCCTCCTGTTAAAATGTTAATGCTTCCCCATTTCTTCCAGAGTTCAAAGGATAGTTTTGGCTCCTGATGTATTGATTGCAGATACATACATATATTATACAAAAGAAATTGTGCTCAATCGCAAATTAATTATCTTCTGCAATCGTTAAAGTCAAGGGGAACAGAGAAAGGCACAGGACGTGGCTAATTACATAAGTTGCTCTTGTTCTAGCTCTGTTTGGCTGTAGAGCTCAGGTTGTCCCATAATAAACTATCCTTCTGGTGCTATCATTAATCACATAGCATGGAAGCCACATATTTCCTTTAAGGGAAGGTGGGGGGGAAAAAAAGAAAGGGAGCAAGGCAACAGTGTCACTAATAAGCTTGGTTCCCTCTGGCTTGTGTTACTACATACATTCACCTTCCCCATGTTTATATAACGGTGCTGAGAGATCGCAGAGGCACGCTGCCTCGTCATCTGGAGTCCAGTCCAAACTCACTGTTTTCTCTTTCTGTCTGCTACCTGCAGATCACATGCTTTGTGCAATTCCCTCACACATCTTCTGCATGTTGTTTTAAACAGGGAGGATAGTGATTGACGGAATAGACATCAGCAAATTGCCTCTTCATACTCTCCGTTCCCGACTCTCCATTATTCTCCAGGATCCAATATTGTTCAGTGGCTCCATCCGGTAGGTGCATGCCATCAGGGGGTGACAAGCAGCATTGCATGGTGTGTTTGTGATGGGTGCTGTGGAACGGGAAGGGATGTAGAAGGGAAGGAACCTTCCTAGCTCAGTCCAATCTGTCTACACAGTCTGTCCAAGTGAAGTCAAGTGACATACACAATGCCGAAATGTTGCTTTGCAGAAGACCTGAATGAACCGTAATTGCAGTAACAAGACTTCTGTTATGGTTTTCTTTGCAGCTTTAATTTGGATCCAGAATGTAAGTGTACTGATGATAGACTCTGGGAAGCTTTGGAGATTGCTCAGCTGAAGAACATGGTCAAGTCATTGCCAGGAGGCCTTGGTATGTCTGAACCAAGTCTCTGGGAGCATAGGCTAATAATGAAATTATGAATGCATGAGCATGCACACATATAAACAGATACATGGGATTTTACACTCTGAACCATCATGTAGAAGTTGACAGGCACCTAATGAATATTCCGTCTCTATGCTAGAGAGAACATTCTTACTAAAAAGCTGAAGAGTAGTCTGGTTTTCCACTCATTGCAGAAAAATCCTGCAGCACCTCAGCATCATAGTGAGGTGACTAGTCAGCAAAGAGTTAAAAAAGAGCCGTTTTACCTCCACTCCTTCAGCAGAATCTGGGTCTCCCAGCAGAGCTGTAGCTCTTGTCTAGAACACTGACAGAGCATTTTCCTTATCATTTCAGATCTAGTTCACGAAGGAAACTCACATATTTCCTTCCATATTAAGAGTATTTTATATTATATTTTATATTACTAAGATATTATCCCGCAGATTTGCTAACTATTTGTGCCAACTCTTTGCTTAATGATATATTGCTCCTTTCCCAAGAAGGTGTGGTCACTTTCCTTGATATCACTCTATTACAGTGTTCAGTCAAGATTATGCGTATTGGCTTTTACAGGGATTTTGCTTGAGCCTGGAATAGTGCACAACCAGAGCTTTCACGGTGCTTATTCAAAATCCCTGGGTCCTGACCGTATGAAGGTACAGCATTTCAGTGGTGCGACAAAGTAACTGATTTTATTACAGATGCAATGGTAACAGAAGGAGGAGAGAACTTCAGTGTAGGGCAAAGGCAGCTCTTCTGTCTGGCCCGAGCCTTTGTCCGCAAGAGTAGCATTCTCATCATGGATGAAGCCACAGCATCTATTGACATGGCCACAGTAAGTATAGCAATTAGTACCATCGATGCATGGATCTGCTAGGAGAGGAGGCATCATCTTCCCTAAATGTCAGCCATGAGATCTCTTTAGCAGAAAAAACTGACAGCTTTTTTGCCTTTCTCTTGTGTTTGGTTTCAGCCGTTGCTGTTGATGTGTTTTGGGGATTGATGCCTATGGTGAGGGGAAAAAAGACAAAATTAAATGTTTTAGAAAGTCCCCTGTGTGGCATTTCATTACTGAGAATCTGGTGCACAGATCAGAGATAGTATGGAATATGATCCTCTCTCTTATGCGCTTGAAGACCCATGAATTAAAATGTGAAAGGATGAAGTAACTGAAGTAAGCCTTTTCCTTTGATAGGAAAACATTCTGCAGAAGGTTGTGATGACTGCCTTTGCAGACCGCACAGTTGTAACAATAGCGGTAAGTACTGATGCCAGCAAATGCACTGCTTCCTCATTCCTCAGCTTTCTCAATTCCTCAGGCAGTTAATCTTGCCTTTCACCAGTTAAACATCACCATATTAAACTAAAAACATCAAAAATTAAAACTAAAACACAAGGTCAGAATATTCCCAGATACTAGAACAAGTCAAGACACATACTATCAACCTGAAATTTTGCAGTAAATGCTATCTTGCAAGTGGGCCAAACTAAAACACTTACATCTGAAGAAGGACTTTACAGGGAACTTCAGCATCTACACTGTCTCCAAGAAAATCTGAAGTCATTGTCACTAAAATATTGACACCAAACACATGGGTTAAACCATTATTGAAAGTTGTGTCAAAACCTAGATTTCAATTTTGCCTCTGAAGTCTATGCACATATAGTGTCTACAGCCATCGCATGAATTTATAAAAGGAGCCAAGATTTCAAAAGCTTGTTGGTGTGGTTTCTCAAGTTTATCTTTTCTTTCAGAATAAAAAGTTGGGTTTATGATAAAGGTTTTAAAAACTGGAATCAATGGGAATTGCTCAAAAATGAATATCTGTTCAACTAAGGGTTTATGATATTTTTTCCTGTTTTCCTGCCATTTCTAGTGCCCAAAAGTTCCATATATCTGTGCAGGTATGCAAGTGTATGTGCATACATATACATGCATACGCACGTACACACATACACAGTGTTCCACCTTGTGATGGCAGGCTTACTCAATAAACAGATGTTTCATCCACGAGATAAATACATGTTTCAACAGCTGTTTCATTTGCTTTGTCTGGAATCCAGTCCTGCGGTTAGAGATTAGAGTTATGCCTCCTGGACTCTGGTTGCAAGTCTGTCAGTGACTAGTTTGTGTCAAGCAAACCACTTAACCTCGCTCCTTTACAATAGGCTCTAAGGTTCTTGAATGTGTAAATGCTGAAGATATTAGCAGTAAGCATATTCTTCTTCAGTTACATGCCATTCAAATTTTCAGTATTGCCCTTCTGACTGAAATCTCACTTTTCTTTTGCTTTGCCTTTCCAAAGGTGGTGTCTCAAGCAAAATGGCACACGTTAATGTTTAGCTTTCCTCACAGAGTTGGCTTCATTTCCTTCCTCTCTTCATTCACGGCTGATCCTTCCTTCACCCACCTGTTTTTCTTTTCTTTTTTCCAGCATCGCGTATCTCACATCTTGGATGCCAATATTGTCCTAGTCCTTTCTGAGGGCTTTCTAGTTGAATGTGACACTGCCTCAAACTTACTCCTCAAAGAGGACGGCCTGTTCACCACTTTGGTGAAGACTCACAAGTAGACTCTCTCAGTCCACACTGTTCACGAGACTTCTGGCTCTTTGGTAGTTATTTTTACCTCTTCAGTTTCCTTTCACTCTGCTTCCTTTCTACTGCTCAGCTTCTGAGATGACAGTGCAAGAAGGTGTTTATTGTATGGTTCCCGGGTTTGTTTAATTTCATGACTATTTATGCTAATCATACTTAACTAAAGATTAGACAGGCAGCTAACTTTTAATCTATAATGTTAGAGGAATCCACTCCATAAAGTAATCCCTGACCTTCGGCCTTTATAGTTGAAAACTACAGTGTGAACTTTTAGAGTTCATCCTGTCTATACCTGACTGGCTGTACTCATACGGCATTGAAATCAAACTAAGGCTGGTTTCATTCCTGTTGCCTATGGGTCAAAACTATTGCCTGAGCTAATTGATTTACAGGAGACAGCCCAGGAGTGCCCTACGACAGAGCAGTCAGGCTACAGAGACCAAGGAGCGGAGCAGGACGCTAAACCACCTGACAGTGCAGGCATACCCAGGATGTTTCTCGCCCATACCTCCTAAAGGGGAAGATGTATTTCAGTGATGCCATAGGATTTATTCCAACAGCTGTGCTGTCCATAATGGCAATTAGCGGACCAAAAGTGAAGTGCGTGCTTAAGTATTTTCAGGCTTGGTGCCAGGGCCTGTACAGTAATTGGAGATCTCTTCAGATTAAAGATATAGTACAAGGACCTACTCCAAATACCACTGTTAACAAGGATAGCTTTTCACCAACTTGGTATGCCTTTCACTAGGCCTATTAATGAACTGCAGTGAGAATTATCATAATGCAAACTTCTGTATGCTTTTCTTTATGGCAGCATCGGGTTCACACCATCCTAACGGCAGACGTGGTCATCGTCATGAAGCGAGGGAACATTTTAGAATATGACACGCCTGAGAACCTACTTTCTCAAGAAGACGGCATCTTTGCTTCATTTGTCCGGGCTGACATGTGAAGAATTGCATGATGCATTTTAATAGCTTATTTTTAAACAGATGAAATGCAAATATTTTCTATTCAATGTAACATCACTTTTATCTTTTTTTTTAGAGTGTCTTCCTTCACACTTCCATCTTCCAAAACAATAAAACCTATTGCAATACATGTATGCCTCAAAGCAATAAAAATGTCACTTCATTCAAAAGCTATTAAACTTCACACACACACACAGAAGGCAGAAGTTTTTATTTCCTGGGAATTTGGCATTTTCCTTAGACTTTTTAGTGACTTTATTTTCTTTTATAGAGAGCAAAAGAATGCACTGCTCTTACAACCTGCATATGCTATGCTGGAACCGGCAATCAAATCGTGCAGTTTGTCAAGGAAATGAGACATCCCCAGAAGTATTGTGTCCCCAGAGGAGAAAAAATAAAAAAAAAAAACCAACAAATCCAAACCCATAACATTTGGGGCAACCTGCTGCATTCCAAAAGCATAAACTTTGCTCTTTAAGTTGTAGTGGAGGAGCAGTGAATGAGGGAAAGGAATTTCATTAGAAATAAGGAAGTTCTTCCTGTCCGTCACTTTATTTTCCACATGATAGTTGGCACAGTACTATTTTTCAGTGCAATGATGACTTATCTGTACAGCCAGTTCCTAAAACCATATTCGTTCTGCAGACTTTCTTCAGTCAAAGATGCAAATCATCCTATAATTATACATGCTTTGATAGGCTTTTAGAAGAGTTTTGTACAGTATCTTAAGACTTTGTATTAAAAATAATCTGAATTTATAAACTTGATATTAGCCAATCTTTTAAACATGTCCACTAAAATATTCTACTTAAAATGGCACGTAATTAGCCAACCACTAATTGTTTTGTATGTCTTTAGCCCTTCACATTATTTTTTATCCTGGGACAACCTTTCTTTTCCTTTACACATTTCTGGTATATTTCTAAATCAGATCTAGTCCAAGAAGGTATGATTTTCAAATTATTTATGTATCTTCAAGAATTTACGTGAATTTAGATACATATTTACATCATACAGCTTTCAAAAGGTTGCCTGCACTTGACTAATGCATATAGCTAGATTCTGAGCCATGAAAACTGCACAATGGGCACTAAACCTCCAGAAGGAGTTTCACAGACACTTTCAAAGGCAGAGCTTGAGCCATCAGCTTCACTGGTAGTGTTCAATGTGATTCTTATTCATCTATTGTTGTAAGATTTAGGAAGAACACGAGATGTACTTAAGCCTATTTCTAGTGTGATGAAAAGAAGAGAAGGCACAGTACTTGGCAAAAAAAAATGCTATGGATTTTGGAGAAGTTGTAGGACTTAAAATTGGGATTACATTTAGTCTAGTAGTGTAAAAATGATACAGTGGTTTATCTTTTTTTTTTTTTTTCCATCTTAACTATTGGAAATAAAAGCTGTGCGACACAACTAAACAAAAAACCTCAGTCTAGAACATTTTATGAGGGGAAGTACTTCTGTGATTTCCCCATCTACTGCTGTGAAAAGTTTTTGCTCTCTTCTGGATTAATTCCCTGTGTTGAACTTTGTCATACAAGGAAAATAAAAAAATAAAGCAGACGTTTGCAGCGGAAGTGCATGTTGTTACACAGATTTCAGAGCCAAAAGGCCAAAATCATTCTTGTTTTAATTTCATTGTCTTCAGTGAAAAGCTAATTGGATTCATTGCTGTCAGGCTCAGTCAGTATGAAGATGAAGTACACATAACTTTGTTTATCTGTATCTTTGATGACGATGCAATCCTGATTTAGCTCAACTGGTGCCAATTAGTTCAGTGAGATCCCGGTTCCCACTACATTAAATGGCTGTCATGGGCCTGGGATTGTGTCAGGTATCTTGTAATACTTAAGAGGGGCCAATAATTAGTACCTCTTTCCTCTTACATGTGTCCCAGAGCCATTACAGGCGTAAGAAGCACCTTCTTTGCTCATCCATCCCTCCAGAGCTGCAGAACTTAACGCTGCTGTTGAAACATGTAGAAAAGAAAATATATTATGGGCTGAGAAAAACCTACCAGCATGCTTTATTCATTTTGGTGGAAGTGTGCAGAAATATTGGCCCTAGTATTACGTTAACCATGGTCAAAGTGTTTGACGATTGCTGCAGTGTATCCCACAGCTGCCTAGCATGTTTAAAAGCACAATCTGATTCCTGAAGCAATTAATCCTATTCAGTGTACACAAATCCCAAGAGAGACAGCAAACATAAACCAACTGCTGTAGACATACCAGATCTTCTCGCATTATAGCCACTGTGATGTTATATCTCACCAAGGGCTTGGGCTGAACTTTGCTTTTCTGTGTTTTCCTCTAATGGAGGAGGGTGTTCCCAACAGTTGCACAGCTGTTTTGTTACTAAGAAGGGTGCGGAAGGGACAAAGTCTTTGAAAGCAATTTCTCTTAATTTCACATAAAGTTCTTAAATGTGTCCCCTTTAGGAGCAGTTTCCGTAGGCTGTGGCACATACATGGTAAAGGAAACACCAGCCTGGAGATTTTGCTGCTTTGACTCTTGTCACACTCCCCTTCTGCTGGTCAGCCCTTATTCTCTTGCCACAGCCTTCTTGCTTCTTTTTCTTCACCATCTCATTATATCATACCTTCTTTGAGGCTCATGCCTGTATCCCTGAATGCTCCTTATTCCGCCTGTGGCCTCCCACTCCTTCCTGATTTAGCTCCGTACCCTCTGCTCTATTTCTTCTCTGACAGCTCTGCACTCACTCTCCTCTCCCCCAGCTTTTTCTAGCTTTCTATCATAACACGCCTCCTCTTCAGGGGGACGTTTACTCTAGTGTCACCATGTTTTGGGGTTGTTTTTTTTTTTCCAAGCATTAAACTAATCAAGCTTTCATTATTGCAATATTATGCCCTAGAATTATTAAGTTCTTCCTTTTACAAAGGTGCTTTGAATGCAAACACTGGCCACGTGTACGTTTCTTTTAACTACGGACGGAGGAAAATCATCTCTGTGACAGGTCCTAAATTATACTTCTCATCTCACCTGCATTTCTTTTTCTGCTGTTTCTGTGACAGAAGCAGCAAAACAGGAGTAAGATCCCTTGCTGCCAACGCAGCTGCTTGTGGATCCACAACAGTGTTTCTCAACCTTTCACTTGCAACCAGTGGGTTATCTTTCCCACTCCTTGAGCCGGGTCTAATGGCTGGCACGGATGAGACTGCTTCCTTCCTCTATGTGGCCTTGCATCAAACTCCTAACAGCTAGCTGCTCATTACTGCTTCTTCTAAACCAGAAATACCCCATACAACCTTTGTGTTTATTACTGAGTCGAAGTTTTAATGTGCTGGGAAACCCACTGTGGGGGTTTTAAGTAGCTCTTGAAGCAGGTCCACAAGCCTCTGCCATAAAGCAATGCCGTTGACAGGTAGCAAGGGGAGGCTTTTGCCTTCTCAAGATCCAGTGCTTAAAACAGATCTCTCCATCTATTCGCTTCGCTGGGAATCTACAACAGCACCGTGGATGCTGGGATTCATATAAGGTGAATTATTTTTATGATGTTTTCTGGGCAATCAGAGCTTGAAAAAGGATGAGAATCTCCTTAAGAACAGCTTTGCCTGAAACACTGGTGTTCTGCTAATTGTTATTTACGCTTCAGGGATTTTAGGAGCATGACAATTATTCGGAATCGACATTTCAAACAATACAGTTACCAAATAGGAAAGTTGCCTTTTTTTTTTTTTTAAAGGAAATAAATCAAGTCAGCAGCTGTGAGGACTCCGAATTCTGAGCTGAGTTTGTTGCTGATCTTTTGTAATTTTTTATAACTTCAAACTTGTTTTAGATTAATATTGTATGTTATTTCAAAGAGTCCCTTATAACTAACTATTCATACTCCTTTTGCTTTGTTATGAAGACCTCTTAAAACGACCTGGATAAGTTTCCCATTTGTTATACTGTAAGTTGTCTGTATGTGCGTGTGTTTATACACACACGCGTGAACTTTTATTTTAAAGAAGCATATGGTACAGGAAACCCGAGGTTCATTTCCTTTCTGTTCAGAAGAAAGGCTTCTAAGAAAAAAAGCATGCTTTTTTCAATGCCAGGCAAAGATCCACATCACATCGGTCAACAGGATGATTCACCCACTGGAGGTGCCCATCTCCCACCAATGTCTGCAGAAGTCTAGGCAATGAGCTTGAACTAGATGTCCGCCTTTTCGATCACTAACTTTATAGCCTCAGGGAGCCTCTGAAAGGTAGAGATAGACAATCAGTAGGGTTTTTAGCCATGTAATAACCAAAGAGGACACATGGATCCACCAGCATTTCCTGCAAGGCAGACAGCCCTACAGAAGTTTGGAATAGCTCTGATAAGCCAGGGGCATAAGTAAGGCCAAGTTTGCAGGGAGAGATCGTTGCTTTGTTAGGCAAATTGATACGCAAAAGAGGTATCTCAAGCGTTTATAAGTTCCAGTTTCACCGCAGACCTGAAAAAGCTCTTCATCTGTGAGCACTTGCCTGTTTTTTCCAACTGTATCATTTAGATGAAAGAGTATATTATCAAAGACTTCTCTAGCGCTTGGATAAGCCCCTTTTAGGTCAGTGTAAACTAGCAGAACACCTCTTATAAATTAATACATCTCCACTGAACTCAATCAGTTCCAACATGAACATGGCCCAAAGGATCTGGCATCTCATTATATGTAAAACCTCTGTCAGCAAAAAGTAATTGCATTGAATTATGTTTTCTTAAAATACAGACAACATCAATTTTGAATGTGGTTGGGTAGGTCTCTTCAAACTTCTTATACAATAAATGGTTTGATCTAATTAATTGTTTTCTTTTTGCTTCCTAAAGCAATGGGCTCTCTTGCTTTGTTGTGTAAAGATGCAGGTACATTCACATACCATTCTGTGCCATAAGAAGCTGAAGGAAACTTCATACATACGTTTTACACAAGCTATGTAGGCATTCTATCACAAATGGAGATATAATGCATTTGATGCAGATGTCTACCTTTATAAAAAAGCTGTGGACAAGGGACATGTTTTTGTTATCACGTTTCCACTATCTAGTGGCAAAAGTTGGAGTGTGTTTCCGTTGCAAGTACTTTGGCCCAGCGTCCCCAGTGTGATGCTGCCAATAGAAATCACTTCTAGAATATCTAGTGAAACCACACTGCTACTTGTTAAAATCTCTCTGGAGCAACAATTCTCCCATAAAATGTCTTTAAAAGCAAAAACTAATTCAGCACATGTGCTATTTTATATCCTCAAGTAGTACCTTTTGAAAGCCTAATTTAAAATTAAAATATGTTATGTAAATCCTCTCATATGAATTCAATGATGGCACGTACAGAGCTCTTTAGTTTCTTTGGAAAGAAATCCTTTCAAAGG